GTTTTTCAGTTTGTTCAAAACCCACGCTTCTGGCCATCACTATTTAAAAAGAAGTCATTTAACGAAAAGTGTTTCCATTTCTTTTAGAAGCCCGCGGATTGTTGTAGTTTTGTAAGGGCTAAGCACAAAATGCGAGAGCTCTATTGGAATCAAATTTTCCGTCTCTCTGCTCTCCATCCGCGTTGGATGTCCTTCAACACTTTTGTTGTGGCGCAATAACTCAGTTTCAACGTAACGTTTTCAAATTTTGTACAGAAGTAATCTACCAAGAGAGGGAGACATCCATACATTCTAGACATTTTTGATCATATCGCTTTGTCTGTCTGTGTGTACGTATGAATTTATATCCATGAATACTTTCGTTGTAACTCGAACAATTTTCAACTTATTAGTAGTTGGAACTTAAGTTTTCAATTTACTATGTCAGAGAGTTATACACCTATAAACTTTGGAGTCATATCTGTCTGTATGTTGTTCGTCTGAATAAATTGCAATGAACACTGTCGTCGTGATGCAAAAACTCGGTTTTCAACATAACGTTTTGCACAGTATTTATCTGTTAGAACAAACTTGTACATTTTGGAGTCATTTCGCTTTGTGTATCTGTCTGTTTACACTAATGTCACGACGCGGTAAGTTTTTCATCAAAATGTTTTCAAATTTTGTACATACACCTTCAGCATCTTACTAAAAAGAGGGTGACAAAATTTGGGTTGTTATTAGTTGATCAAAAATAGAAAGACACCTAACAGTTTTGTAGTTTAGTGACTGTTTTTCGTCACCTTGCTTACGTGGTATATTTGACATATAAAGTAATGTTCCTATAATAACTCTGAGCGGGGCCCCCTGTGACCGTGTCAGAATTCTAGTACTATTGTGGGTACATTCATGAATTATGCAACCGCGCATGTACACAAAGGTAACAAGGTGCCTATATCTACGTTCAATGACTTTTTCAATAAATCAGTAAGTTAGGATAGGGAAATTCTGCTGAATACACAAATCCGGGCAGTCATCTTTCAACTGAGTCCATAGGGCAATGTCATTAATGCTATAACATTTCTTCTATGTACATGTATATATAGTCAATACACATCCTCACAATCTCAGACGTCCCAAGTTCAAGAGTGGACTCATGGCCCCTGACGTTGTGAGGATGGTCAAGGCAGTGCTCGATTTGTCCTATAAATCAAACAGTGCTTGGCTAGGTAGTGCTTCCAAATACGGTGTTCTGGTAGGCGGCAGTCCCGTCAACAGTATCACCCACAATGAGTCTGCAGGGATTTTCAACTGCCCCTTGTAGGGCCGAATTTAGGCCCCATTCCCAATTGCAAAAACCCTTCCTTTCTCCGAATAAAATAACTATGTTACAGTCCGAGTTGAAAATTAGTAGAATTACTAAAATTTGAATATGCATTGTTCTAACGATGTGTTGATTAATCTACTCTTTGATTGAAAGTTCTGAATAATTTATTAAAAGCTCAAATTCATTCATCATTTATAGTGTTCATTTTTTTTAAAATGTCTTGTGATATAATTTCCCAATCAGTGATAAAATATCATTAAATTCCATTCCAAAAATGTAGTGGAAAATCCCTGGTCTGGAGAGGGGTTGGGTGGGGATGGCCGGGGGTTGTTGTGTTAATGTAACTACTTCTTCCAAATTGGGGCAATACATATCCATGACCTATTTGGATAAATGTGTGATATTGCTTTATCAGATATGGATCTGTTAATGACTCCGTGGTGATCAATCAAGGGTTAAAGTCTATCAAGATTGGCTTGGTAGGTATTGGGTACCGAGTACACCTTACTGTTTGGAAAGTTTTAAATCCAAAAACACCGGTGTTGATTTGTTAAATTTGAAATGAAATTTCCCTCGTAATGGCAATACAAGCTCCTTATACAATAAGATATAGCTTATATTAAAAAATATACACAAGTCTGACAAGAGGTTATTTAGTGGATTTATTTGTAGTAATAAATCATATAAATAAAAAAGCATGTGTTTCTGACAGATTTTGGCATACACCCACAGAACATCAGATTTTGATGTTCACTAAATTTCTACATGTACATCAATCACTGCAACATATAAGGTCAATAATGTACACTTGCAAGAAAGGTCTGGTTACTGCAGTATTCAAATATTTCAGACTTAAGTACACGACTCTTGAATTACACATACATTATCATATTATGTTAACATTTATGCAAGAATAGTGTTGTTAATTTGACATCAATATCGTCATAAAGGGATTCTGTGGGTGCAGCAGTTTATATGCTGCAATACTTTGTAGACAAGGACTTAGTGATACGGTGTGACAATAGGTCAAGGTAATAAGTTATAACATTTAACAACATATGATATCCATCTCTTCACACTGCTTACATAAGAATACATACATAGCTCACTTCTGTACCTATTTATATATAATGGTACACATTTAATATGATACACAGATTTTACCAGCATGAATGCATTTCCTGAACGTATTTTCAAATATTACATTTTTATGAATTTCAATATGAAAAGAACATGTAGAAATAAGCCAAACAAAATCCTGTTACCTCAATTCAATTGCCATTTTCTCATAATTCATTTCCAACACAGAAAGGAAAGAACTTTCACCTATCCTATAATAATTGGACAGATAAATTCATTTTGTGGTAAAATTGAAACAATATGTAATACATGTATATGCTATCACTCAACTAACACATTGGAATTCTTTTTATTTGTATATGATCCTGTAACCAATGAGCTGTGACATTTATTACAGAATATGGTTTTGTGCTATCAGTGGACAATTTCAGGGTGCACACCCTCTACATCCCTCACACTATCATGTGCTGCTTTTTAGCCTCAGAGTCAGAGATACTCATACACAAAAAGTCTGTTTAATGGTGTCTCAATTATTCTGACATTTTGCATTATAACCACTGATGTTTCTTTCTCTTTTCTTGCCCCCCCCCCCTTTTGGATACCCACCTTTCCTTTCATTCCCATGCCTTGAAAAGAAATTCTGTATTCACTGATTCACCCTGGTTACAGTCTGTTAATTATTAAGTTTACATCTCATCATTTAACAGGGGTGGTTGCTGTAAACTTCACTTCTTAAATCTTGTTAGTTCTAGTTCTTATGCTTGTTTTCACAAATGGACAGAAAATTATGTGTGCCTCACTCCCCTTACAAAAACAAATGCAGCTATTATACACTTCTATGGTAAAATAACAAAGTATCTGTGTACTATCTATACAAATAGATGTCTGGTACATACACTTTCAATAATAGTCAGATTTTACCTACTATTTTGCCAAAATGATATGCTGCTGTCAAATACATGTACAGTTAAACCTTATTATTTTGAACCTGATGAGAAAAATTTCGATTTGAGATATTGAGGTTAAAATATCTCAGGAAAAAATGATTGGTACTTTTAACTGACTTTGACATATCCATGGTATTCGATATATTGAAGTCAGAGATAATGCAGTTCAACTGTAGTGCAATGTAACCCAGATATTTGTCTAACTTTTGTGTATCACATAATGTGCTGCTAATCATTTTTTTTTGGGGGGGGGGGTTATTCCTTCATACACAAAAAGATGACATTACCCAAAAAAAATGCCAAGAATTAAATCACAGTGACAAGTTAAACATATAGAGATACCAGGGATTTCTTACAGACTTTCTACAGATATACAACAATAAAAATTTTGTATATACTTCAACTTATTGCCTTAAAATGAATAATCAAAGAATAGCATTATTCCAAAACAATATTTTGAAACAATATTATATCAGCTGTAATTTATGTAATGCAGCATTATGTAAGTGTAATGGAAGACAACTAAACTATGATTTTAAACAGACGTGCATACTTTAAGTATACTAAGCCTAACATTGAAACCAAACTGACTGTTTTGTTGCTCACCACAAATATAATATAGTTTAACAGCAAAAACTTACAGAATTTAAAATCTCATTCTTAATCATTTACAAGAGTTTTATATTTGCCTTTTAGTGGACATAGTTATGTTCTATCAGATCATTCAAAAGTTGTTGTTTTTTTTTTGTTTGGCTTATATAATATATATATTTCATGCTAAAAAAGTTAAAAATTATAACACAATACTAAAACTTTGCATTTTGTAAAACTCTTCTTTCGAATTAAGAAATCCTATCTGTCCTAAATAAAATAAAAGCTATTTTTTAAATGACTACTAGTGGTACAATCATAAGCTGATTAGGCCAATATTAAACTTAACAGCACACCAAATACCAGACAAAGGTTATGTCAACAAGTTTAATCCTGAACTGCTTGTGGTATACATGTGTAACTTATAGTGGAAATATTTCCTTATGCTTGTGTTATTTAAGTATCCTCAACTGTATCTATCAAATCGCAGTGTTCAAATTCAGGTCATTGCAATATCCCAAGACTAGCTATGATTTATATACCTGTATGCTGGACACCTTTTTTAAAAGAATACAGATTATGAAAATAAGGTTAAGTTTGGTATGTGACCTTGCTAACCTCCAAGGGAATTTTATACACTATCAATGTTCACAATTTTAGCAAATAAAACATTTCATTTTACCTAAGGATGCACTAAATTTGACCCAAGTTTTAAACTGATAACAAAAGTAGGTCAACTCTGATTAACAGTACATTGTACAGTTAACAAATGTAGCTATTTAAACAAAAGAAAAGACCTTGATCAAATGGACAGAATAAATACTTTCTCAAAAACAAAACAATTTTACCTTTTAATAACCCTAAAAATTGATCACTGGGTTAAACATGATGTACCAATATCAGCACATATATGTAAAAAAAAAAATCAGTAGTTCATACTTTAAAACGCATCAATAAAACATAAAATATTAATAATGCACCAATTTTGTTTTTTAAACAAATATGACACTGCAGCAATTTCATACATTTAAAAGCTACATTTATAAATCAAATCAGCACTAATCTTTTCTGATGTAAAAACATGAAAGTGTGAAGAAAAAGTATTAATAGGAAATAAAAGGAAACTTTGAATACACTTTGAATTACCCTTAAAATTTCCTTATAAATATCACACACAATATTACATGTAAATATAAAACAATATCATACATAACAAGTAATAAAACTGTCTGAACATGTGTCATATATGTTTTAGTAAAACATATTTGTATGCATTGTTTGTTTTTTTTTTTCATACATGATGTTCACTTTCACATTAATTTTATCTAAATGCCACCAAATCATAGTCCATAACTGGAAGCAACAAGTCCAACAATATTGATTTTATGTGTGGATTTCTTGTTCAGCGGTGCAAGTATACTTTAAGTTTAAGGTCATTGTCAATATGATTGCATTCTTGTGCAGATTACAAATAAAATGAAAAAAATTAGTCTTTCTTCACAGGTTTCGATGCCCTAGGTTTACCAGAGAGGTATGCAGAATAGAAAAAATGTGCAAACAAAAAGAAATAACTTGCATACATAATCAGGGAGTATTTGATGTTTTCATATGATACGTTGCAATACCTTCCCTCATTTTTGACTTGATATGCCCATACATTCACTACACATCCTATAACCATTTGTAAAAGTTGCAAACATGTGATGAACATTGATACCCATTTAGGAAAACTGAATCGCATGGCTTTCAGTGCATAGTAAGAGTACATGATGGAATGTACCAAGTAATTCATTGTCATAAACCACCTTCCCACGGCAGTTCTCTCTGGATAGCTGTACCACGAATAGATCAGAACAGTGACATGATGGTACCAATGAAGAAAAATAAGAGGTTGTTTTCGAAGGACAATAAACATGGTGTCACCTAGCTCATACACCTTAGACACAGTAAATAGGAATGTCCACACTGCTGCAGCATTTTCGAGGTATGAAGGTACACATATAGAATATTCGAAACTATGTTCTTTAACAGCCATTATAAGTTCTGGAAGGGTCCTAGCGGCACCAAAGACACTAAATACTGCCAAAATACCACTCCAAAGAGCAAGCCAGGGTCGTAAACCATAACTTGGGCGTTTCTCCATGTACCGCTTTCCTCCGAAAACCAGGATGATGTAAACGAACGCATAGATAAAACTGTCTGCCCAGTGTCTTACCATGTACTTGAAAAATTTTGATTCGTCATACTGTTTTTCAAATGCAAAGAGGTACGAATAATTATTTTGCTGCATGTTGGAAGTCATGACAGAACCCGGCGTCAATGCTTTCACCACGAGGACTGGGCAACCCAATGAATGCTGCACAGTGCTTTCCGATTGGTTTTGGTCATGAACTGAGGTTATTCAGCCAATCAGGGGAAACGACACTGTTGTTGCTAGTAATAATGCGTCAGTGATAAACATATTCAGTCGGAATGTCTTCAGCATTTTCATGGAAGTTCGGGTTAAAAATCCGAGGAGTATCGACTGGATAGATATGCAAAGTTCCTGATTAATAGAACGTACATTAAATATTCGTATGGGTTCAAATTTGTAGGCCAATCTTATAATTCTTATGCCCCCGTATCGAAGATTCGGGGGTATAACGTTATAGTTTTTGCCCTGAACGTCCGTCTGTCTGTCTGAAAAAAGTTTAACATTGCCCATAACTTTTGATTGGTTGGAACTATGGCTTTCATATTTCACATGTGTATTCCTTGTGCCAAGACCTTTCTTTGGGTACAATCATATTTGACCTTTCGACCTTGAACTTGGAGTTTGACCCAGTTTTGCAAAATGTTACCGAACTTTAAGCTTGGTCATAACTAAACTTTTAAACAATTGGTGCTGGGGCTTTCATACTTCACATGTATAATTCTTGTGACAAGACCTTCCTTTGCATACCAACTACCTTGACCCTTTGACCTTGGAGTTTGACCTACTTTTGGAAAACTTTAACTTTGGCCATAACTTTTGAACAGTCGGTGCTAGGGCTTCATATATGTAATCCTTGTGACAACGACCTTCTTTTGGATAACAACAACTTTGACCCTTTGACCTTGGAGTTTTGGAAAACTTTAACTTTGGCCATAACTTTGAACAGTTGGTGCTAGGGTTTTCATATTTAAAATGTCTATTCCTTGTGACAAGACCTTCCTTTGGATACCAACAATTGTAATCCATTGACCTTGACCTTGGAGTTTGACCTACTTTTGAAAAACTTTGGCCATAAGTTTTTGACTGATTGGTGCTACGGCTTTCATATTTCACATTTGTTTTTCTTGTGAGAAGGCCTTTCCTTGGGCACCATTTAATTTTGATTATTTGACATTGACCTTGATGATTGACTTACTTATGAAAACTTTAACCTTTTGCATTTCTATTCAATGGTTGCTGCTAGTGCCTTCATATTTCACAGGTACGTTTCTCGAGACAATACCTTACTTTTGGTACCAACATATTTGATTTGCATTAGAGAAAGTTTAACCTTTGATTAAGTTGCCATACGGGGGCATCAGTGTTTCACAAACACATTTTGTTTATATGAATAATTAGAAATTTGATGTACATAATGTAAATTAGTGCAAATTTTAAGTCACACATGTATATATATAGCACAGGCACCTATGTCTGAAAAAAAAAATAGTACAATAGTAATACATAATATTTATTATTCTTATATGATTGAATAATTCCTAGCTCTCTGATTGGCTGAGATCCAATATTGTAGAAAAAATATCATGTTAAGTTCACCTGCACGTGACCTTCCAGGTGAACATAAGGATTTATTTTTTCTACATTGGCCTAAAAATAGATCGGGAAATTCCAAATTGATACAAATAGTTCTGGAAAGTTATTTCACTTGCACCCGACTTCCACTCAGTTTAACATAACATTCAGGCACATAGAATCGGGGACAGGGTGCAGGGGATTTGTCCCATCCCTATATTTTTATTCTGAACGTAAATTCTTACTATTAATTTAGAATGAAAATGTTCATTGAAAGGCTGATTGCGCCCCCTTTCCCCATTAATGGACCCTAACACCCCTCTTATCCAGAAATAAAATTTAGAGATTGGAGAATTCTCCTGATGGGGGGGGGGGGGGCGGGTGGGGGCCTTGTCAAATTTTTTTAAAGGTAAATTTGTAGAGTACAAATTCCAAGGGGGGGGGGGGTCCGGACCCCCCCGACCCCTCTCTAGATCCGCGCATCCTCAATGATTAAATGATGCAAATTCGTTAAGCAATTTATACCATCTTATTGTTTATATTTACTGAAGTCTTAAGCCAAACGCAATAAGAGAAGTGGGGTTAAAGTACACATAACCTGCTACATATTAGTTATTGGATTATTCAGAATATACAGAAGCAAATAAAAATGATTTTGGACCCCCCCCCCCCCCCCGGGAATGTGGACCCCACCATCACCACCACGAACTGGGGTGGACCCCCCCCCCCCTGGAAAAAATTCCTGGATCCGCGCCTGTTGAATCATATTATAAAACAATCATTATTGTTGTTTTTTGTTTTGGTCTTTCATTCAATGTGTTGACGGGCCACCTTTGAAGTTCAATATTCACCCTTCGGTCTCGGTGAATATTTTACTCCGCAAAAACAGCATTAATTTTACAAATATAAAATAGCTTGTAATTTTGGTTCCTTTTAACCAGATTTATTTCTCAGCTCTGGGGATTCTTTGACTGCCTCTCTCCCCCTCACACACACATACTATTTGATGTTATATCAAGATAAAGCACGATTTATCAATAACTTAAAATTCAGAAAAATGCTGTCTTATTCTAAAATTACAATGTATCATACAAAATATAATGTAATCAATATAATAATTTGAATTTTGTAAAATAAAATCATGGGTATAAATGCTTTCGCTTGGTCAATTTATTTTTAAAAGAAACTTGTTTCTACCAAATTTATCCCTATTTATTTAGCAGCTGCTTAGCACCAACCGACAAATAATTAGTGATAAATTAAGGTCATTAAGAGTTTTATCTACAGACGTGTAAGTACAGTATAAAAATAACACCACCAAATTAATGCTTCCAATAGGATGTTGTTTTCTTTTATTCCAGTTTAATTGGGAGTATCCCGACAAAATTATGTAAAATAACACGCAAAATTAAAAACCATTTATCCAGCTTGGGGACAATTTTCGGATCTCTTCAGTACTTCAAAGTAATTTCATTCTCAGTATAATAGCCCGAAAACCCAAGCTTGTACTAAATTGGAAGGATCCGGGAAAGATATTTCATTGGTCAAAATCATAATGAGGAGAATTGCTTTCCTTAATTTTTATTGGCTGTTTACATTTAATGTTTGCGCAACAAATAATATAAATGAGGGTCAAGAGAATCTCTGTCATTTCAAGTTCATTCAAATTCACGAGAATGAAGACACAAGAAACATTTCAACCACTCTTCATAGACACCAGCTTGGAATACGAGATCGAACGTTCTCGCTTTCCCGGCATTGACAATGGTCAGCCCATGTTATTGGTTCATTCATCAATCAACTGTCCGTGCGAACGGACGTGTACATCTTCAGACATCATTACTCCCGTAGCTGACCATGAACTATACAGCCTTATTGACACTCTAGATGAAATGACTTCGGACACCGAAGATTCCTCGAACACGTGTTTGTATTCGTCATCACCCTTGAGTAACTCTGCCTTAAGTGCCGTCTCAAGACAATTTTCATATGAGGAGAAAAGAGATATACAAGCACAGACACCGGACTTTCTTACTGACACACCAACGACGTCACCATTTTCCTCATCATCTTCTGATCCCAACCCACGTGACCTCATGGATGAACAGTTTTTTCCAGATCTGTACAAGACCGAGGATGTGCTGAAGGAATTTTTCTCGGCAATTTGTGACCTGCCTTTAGATGACTTTGGTACAAGAAAACGCAGACATTCAACAAGTAATGAGGAGTCGACCGAGTCTAAGCGACAGAAGACGGAGTGTTCTCTACTGGAGGACTTATTAGAGCACGAAAGTGACTTCCGATGGTGTTTGTGAATTAACTATCCATGTTGATTTTAAAATAGTGCTCATTGTACGTAACAGTTTACAATGCAGTTTGTCTGCAATATGTTTATAGATTTCCATGTAAGTTGAAAGTGCTCTAATCTGAATATTTTTTTGAGTTTATTGTTTGTACATACAATAGATTATATTGATTAAAAGAAATTTAAATTTTGCTTTTCTTTTGTCTTTGAATTCAAATTTCATGAAGAGAAGATAAGGTTTGCATACTGAGACTGGTTCCAGGTCCTGGTTAAGTCCTCAATTGTTATATTCCTATTAACTGAGAAAATATCAATAAATGCTGAATGCTTAAACATATTCTAAAATAAGCATACCTAGTACTTATGTCTAATCGAAAACACTAATCAGTTATAAAAGCGTCGTCTGTGTATCCCATCACCCCTCCTTCTACAAAGGATGTTATAAATCACAACAAGATTATATCATTAGGGGATGAGTTCTTCATTTTTTTTTTTAAAAATTTTAAATTAGTATTTCATGGGCACTCCCCAGCTTAATTCTTAAAAATATATAAACATAACAGTATAGTAGATAAATTTTTTTTACAATGAAGCTGGGGATGTATCTATTAATCATCATTAACTTTGACTTTATTTAGGCCGGGGTTTAATAGCAAATTAGTTTAATACGTGAAATATTTGAAGTACGAGCTAGTATAATTCGTTAAACCGGAACTGGTCACTGGGGATCTGTCCACAGGCACAGAACGTAATGAGAACGGAAAGATAAAACAAATGTTTTTAGATGATTTAGCATGATGCAGTAATCAATATTGCGATGTTCTCTATAAAGTTTAAATTAACAGGTAGGTAAATATGAATATTTATTCTCAGAGTTTTTTACTATAGTTAAGTAATATTGAGGGATCAGAGAAAATTCGAGATCTTCAGCATGATCAAGACAGCAGCTTCTCTTCATTTTCTTTTTGACCAGTGATCTATTTATTAAGTTCATAATTTTTTAATGTTACTATCGTAAAGCTATTGATTAACCAATTACAGGAAAAGTTTAAAATGTTAGTTGCATCCCCAAGGCCTTAATCAGTGTAGCCAAAGACAAAAATTTTTATTATACGATTGAATTATTCCTAGCTCTCACATTTGCCGAGATCCAACATTGTAGAAAAAATACTACGTTATCAGACCCGTAGAACGCAAGAGAGGGTCACTTTTTTTAAGTATAGTCTGTTGATGTAGTAAATTTTCATTTACTTGATGGTTACAACCTCCTCCCCCCCCCCCCCCCACACACACACACACAAACACACTTCTTGTTGATGTTAAGTCGAGCGCTGGCAAATTCAAGCATTTGAAAAAAAAGTAACAAAAAAGTTAGAGAAAGGTCAAATTCCTATTGCTATATTCAGTAATTAAGATTGGGAGTTTTTTTCAAACATTGAACACACAGATTTATTGTTGTAATAAATTGGCAGCTGGCACAAAAAAGGCCTATATAATATTTAGTGTTTTATATATGTAGTTTTACTTAACAGTTAAATTGGGAATAAACTGAGATTCCTCTGACTCTAATCCCACTTATATATTTTGACATGTGCCCCCTGCACATGTCAAAATATAAAAGCAGGGGTTAGAGTCAGAGGAATCTTGGATTTATTTGGGAAGTGCCTATGGAATTTTTTACCACTTGAAAATGTGTTCTATTTTATATATATATATATATATATATATATATATATAGCAGAATCAAATTTTGCCACCCATACACTTTCTATTTACGTGTATTTCACTAGTGATCTGATGTAAGACATGATGTAATCAACTTTATCCTGTTGCAAATTGCAAAAAATGTAGACAAGTTGTGCAAACTGACAATATTTTACAGCAATAAATCTTTGTGTCTCATGTTGAAAAATAAATACTGCATGGAGAAATAGTCCATAAAAATTAGTAAGGTGTAATCCAAAATGGAGGCAAGTTCTACACTTTGTTATAAATATTGTGGTAAAGGTATGTATATTTACAAACTAATGTGGAGAGTTTCTATGGCATTGATACCCTTGTGGGAACATATGTACCAATATTCTTTTAAAAAAATAAAGAACAATTTTCTTGTTCATAAAATGAAATTTCAGATATGTATGCCAAATGCAATCATTTGTCAAAATATTGTAAAAAAAAAAATATGAATTAAAGTCATACAACTTGTTTCTTTATAATTTAATTAAAAAAAAAAATGACTAATTATCATTTCTTGCTTAAAGTTCAAGATAATTTTTTATGTAGAATATTTAAATTAATTCCAATATTTGATTATATAATTTTATGTTCTGTCAGTTAGCAAACCAATTTAAAAATAATATGTATATATTGATATTAACATTTGCTGTGCTTTTCTACTTAACAAACCATGAAATTGATTTGATTGCCATTTTCGTGTATATACATGCATAAAATATACAGGGAGAAACTTGCACGAAAGTGACATGATTAGGCAATGAGGCTACAGAGATGTTAATAAAAATATAACAATATAGGGCTGCAAGAAATTCAAACATTGAGAATATTTTTGGAGCTTTTAAACATGTAAAATGTAAATATAGGAAATGTTTTTATGTTGTGTGAATTATTGGTGTGTAAATCACACAGACTTGCATGTAGGCATATTTTTCATGAAGTGCTAGCACGCTTCATGAAATATGCCTAAGTGACAAGTCTGTGTGATTTACACACCAGTAACTCACACAAAAACTTAAAAAAAACATTCCTTAACTAAATGTATATTCCTTTTTGCAGTTCTTACTGGATGTCTTGTGTTTTCAACAATTCTTGCTACAGAAGACTTTCCCAAAAGGAATGGAGAAAACCCCGATATAGAAGCTGATGAAAAAATACAAGACAAAGATCAACAAGAAAGGAGAGTAGTTGACGATACAAATGGAGAAGAAATTCACAATATACAATCAAACAAAAAGGAAGAGGAAAGAGAGGGACATACAGAAAAAGAGGTCCAAGATGAAAAGTTTTCAAGTGAGGATAACCCTGACATGAAGAAAATTCCAGATGAAGGACAAAAGAGTCATGTGTCACAGGGAGGTGAATCTAGCAAAGAATCAGATGAGGATGTGGAAGAATCTGTCAGTAGCCCCAGCACTGGGGAGGAATCTAGTCAAAGCTTCTTTTCATTTAAAAACTTTGTGAAAAGTTTAGTGAGTCCAGTGCTGGAAGAGCTAGAAAAGGCTGATGGTGGCTCTAAATCTGACAGTAAAGTAGTAGGTGAAGTGAATCTCACCGAGTCTGTGTCAAACAATGCCACAAATGTGTCTGTTCCACTGACTGCAGAGGTCAAAAATAAGACTGATAAAAAAAGCAAGTTTACCTGCATTGGCAGAAACTATACAACAGAAAATGCATCAGTGACAATTGTTAATAATACTCAGTTATTGTCCATTTTGAGCTTTGATAAAAATGAAACAGAGGGAGACTGTGTCCTAGTATTATTTTTTGTGCCATACTGTAGATTTTGTTCAGACATGGCTCCAAGTTTTAATGCTTTGGCAAGAGTGTATCCTCAACTTAACATCATTGCCGTAGATGCAGCCCAGTTTAGCAAGTATGTACAATAACACAATATTAAAATCCTTTGTTTTAATGTTGTACTGATAGAGTTGTGCTGATATACTTAGTCTGTGTATAAGAGGGTTACACCACTTGTTGATTAAAATGGGTCATATTGTCATAAAACAATAAACCTGCAAATTTAAAACACCTATACAGCATGCAATTTACCTGAAATCAAACACTGGGAACTCTAGTGTTGTTAAAACAATGATTTCACATTAAACCTTTATATTTTAAGTATAATTCATTTATATGTGTTCACAATTCTATATTTCAGTTTAAATGCAAAGTTTGGAACTGTCTCTGTACCAAACATTCTTTTGTTTCACCAGTCCAGAGCAATGATGAGATTCAACAGCACTGAAAAATCATTTGCAAACCTTGTATCTTTTGTGAAAAATGCAACAGGTAAGCATATATTTCAATAAAAGTAGAATCCTTCCAGTTTTGTAACTAGGGTTAAGGATGTGGAATTTTAGTGTCAAGTTTTGCCTTTATTTATTTATTTTTTCAGGTTTTGAACCTAATACCACTGTTACAGTTCTGCCGCAGGATTTTGCGGGGCCTTTACAGAGTGTTGCCACAGAGACTACAGATTATATGCTAATAGTGTCATGGATGTTTGTAGTGTCTTGTAGTGCTTTTATGTTTGTGCAATCAAATCTAGGACAACAATGGATAAACAAAGTCAAAATACTGTGGCAAGAGCATCAGCATATTGACTAGTTTAAAATTATTAACTTCATATGTTTGCATTCCCAATCCATATTTAAATTCTTTAATACATTTGTTCTATTTCTAGACATACATAATTTAAAATTACAAGTATGCTATTATAAACATCAATGTATACTAAAGGTGCAGAAGCTTAATTCTTGAGCAAATATTTTTTGTCCATGTTTGTGGTAGAAATAAATACTTTGAAATAATATGAGGTAGTCATCAATTGTACACATTTTGTGGCAGTTAACAGGAAATGTCTCCCATCACAGACTCCGTATTTACTAAGCACTTTTCATTCAGAAATCAACAGTTCGTTGAAGTCACTTTAGCAGCAATGGTGTCATTTCCTTTGGCTATAAGAAGTGTGAGGTTTTCACCAGATGCTCTTATAAGTCTCATAGCACTGAAAGAGAACAGAGAGTTTCTTAACCTTTCAGTATATAAATAATACCTAATACAATCAACAAACTTGAAAAATTGAGTGAAATGAATTGGAGAGCCTGAGAGATTTTGTCTTGTTATCAGTGACCCCCTTTTCTAGCTATCAAATTGTAAGGTGTAGTTAAATGTAATTTTTAAATAATATTTCTATGATGTCCAGATAGGGCCATTTGCAAAAGCTCAACAGCTCGTTCAGAAAAACACACCGTCGCGCTAACACACAACACGCCATCATGCTAATACACAGCACGCCATCGCGCTAACACATCATTGAACAACACGCCGTCACGCCAACACAAGTTCGCACATCACGCCGTCGCGTTATCACAAAGCTGTGTTAGTGAGTTGTGTGACAGCGTGTTGTGTAAAGTTGCGTTTGCGCGACAGCGTGTTGTGTGACAGCGCGACGGCGTGTTGTGTAAAGTGTTAGCACAACGGCGTGTTGCTTGAAAGCGTGATGGCGTGTTGTGTATTAGCGCGATGGCATGTTTTTTTCTTTTTTTTTTCCAAATGGCCCTTTCCGGACACCATATATTTCACAAATAACTTATCAAATACACAAGGTATGGCAAAATATTCGGTACCTTTGATAGTCTGCTCCAACAATACTCTTGCCATTTACACACAGCAGACGATCTCCTACTGTGATCTGTCCTTGCTCCTCCGCAGGGCTACCCGCCAGGATCTTTCTAATGTAGATCCCCGCCATACGAAGTGGGGTATACTGAAAATAATACAAAGTCTCGAGAATCGTTCTAATGTAGATCTCTGCCATACGAAGTGAGGGTATACTGAAAATAATACAAAGTCTATAGAATCTTTCTAATGTAGACCCCCGCCATACGAAGTGGGGTAGACTGTAAATAATACAAATTACATTAAAAGGCCTTACAACGTTCAGAAGCCAGTGGGCCTCAACTTGCTTAGTTGGAGGAAAAGTGAATGAAACGTGACTTGCGCTAATAATTTTTTTTTAAAGTCATAATGAGTAAATGAACATTTTCCCACTTACCTGACATTCTGAATATGTACCCAATTTTGTAGTGTAATTACGCATTATATTTTTTCACCAGATATGATATTTGCCACATTCACTCTAGATTCTACTCACCAATCCATCAATTAACCCCAGTCCCAGTCCACTACTGCCTTTTGCAATACTAACAGCAAATACTGGGTTACTGGTTGAGCGGGGGGATACGTCCTGGTTATCACTTGTATCAGAAACTGGAAGAAAAAAAACCAAGAATTGAGATTATGAGATCAAATATATTTAATAATATGTGAAATTCATTGTAATTTAGTGGAATTCATTGCAATTTACCGCGGTATAAATACTAGTATACCCATTTACTGCAAGGCGTGAGCACTTTTTAAAACTCTTGTATTTTTAGTTGAAAATTCGGAAGACGCATTAAAGGGTCATCAGACGTTATTATCAAGGGGACACAACCATTAATCGAAAATACTTTTTTCTATGGTATAGTATATACATTGTATTGGCAAAATTATTTGGGGGCAACCCTCCCCCCTGCCCCCCTCTCCCCCCACCCGGTTTCTATTGCCCTGGCCTGGTGTTTATTATCATGCTCCGGATGTGTCATACACTTACAAACGTCGTCTCTAGGTGAGGAAGGACTGTACTGACACCTATTGTCTATGGATGATGGTGGACTGTGCTGCTGCCTGGTGCCCATTCTGTTCTGCTGTTGATTTTCTAGTATCTGTTTATTCCCATTTACCAAAAGATTCTTTGGAAACATGTATTCTCCTTCGTCATCATCATTAACTGGAGATTCAAATTTCATGTGATTTGATGCTCCAAGGTACTCGGAATGTTCTGATACATTGGAAGTTTTTGTTAACTGGATGTTTTCTGCGTGGGGTTTGGGTGGCAAGTCTGGTGGGATATTAAGGGAGTTTTCTCGCACATGACGAGGAGGCAAGGGGGGCGGGGGGCTCAGGCATCGGATATTTTGTATATCACCTTTTACTGGAACAGGGGCATCACTTGTAAGACCGTTTGTTATCAGTTCATCCAGTCGTCTATCTGCCGAATCATTCAGTGACACTGATCTTTGGTTAGAGCCTCCGGAACATCTCAGAACGCTACCTCTAACCAACACAGAATCACTTGATACGCTTGCGTTAGATTGGCGTAAGTTTCTGCGTGCGTCTACACGCGCATGAGTATCGGAATCGGTCTCCAGATTTGTTGGGGCGAACTGTACTCGTCTTGGGGAAGGTTTATTTCCAAAGTTTCTCTGTTTTATCAATGGCTTACTAAAAAATGACTTCTGAAGTTCTACTTTCGGAAAACTACCCACAAACTGCGGCGTGTATGAAGCATTCGATCCAATGTCGCTGTCATCTGTAAGAGACGAAACAATTTGATTATCTTTGTATATAATGTAAGAATTACACCTAAATACCGAAAATGACCAACCTTCGGCAATGCCATATTGTGCGTATAGTTTTTTAAAATGTGCCCAAAACTCTGTGTCGTCTGGTGGATGAGCGAGATCTATGACGCCATAGTCTTGTGGAAATAGAAAGGGTGGATGACCTGACATCTCCAGTAGAATCTCATCTGCAAATATTTTATCAATAATGTAAAAAAAAAAAAACAGTACTAGCTGCATAATAACACACACAAAAGTCCAAGTGATCCCTTGACAGAAAATCTCGATCTACCCTCTTGCAGAGCTTGATGCCGGTCCTCTGGTGGTGGATTCCAGCAATATGGTGGAGATTTCCCGCCCAGACTGTATCCTTGTAGCAGACGATGCAACTGTGCCTCATTCAGAGGATGATAATTCACTCTCATGTTCATCCAGTCGTACTGGAAAACAAAAGAAACAAGAGGTACTGTGAGCACTGAGCTCATAAAAAAATCAACACCAAGCTCCCATATGAGTATAATGGCAAAGTGCATTTCTTGGTATGTAAATGAGATTCTGCGAAAGTTTCTCAATGAATTTCATTCAGGGGTTTAGGAGGAGTTACATTAACAAAATGGATACCCTTTTTATCGAGAATAATAGCAAAGTCCATGTTTTGCTACGGAAATCTATGAGGCGCCGTTTTGGTATTTACTGCCAAAAAGTGATATCACCTATTCGAATAGGTGATATCACCTATTCAATTGGTGATATCACCTATTCGAATAAGTGATATCACCTATTCAGCTTCTGAATAGGTGATATCACCTATTCGAATAGGTGATATCACCTATTCGAATAAGTGATATCACCTATTCGAATAGGTGATATCACCTATTCGATTTGAATTGGTGATATCACCTATTCGAATAGGTGATATCACTTATTCGAATAGGTGATATCACTTATTCGAATAGGTGATATCACTTATTCGAATAGGTGATATCACTTATTCCTTTTGAATAGGTGATATCACTTATTCGAATAGGTGATATCACCTATTCAAATCAAATAGGTGATATCACCTATTCGAATAGGTGATATCACCTATTCGAACAGGTGATATCACTTAATCATTTTGAATAGGTGATATCACTTATTCGAATAGGTGATATCACCTATTCAAATTATTTATGAAATAACAACTGCTCCCAAGACTATAGCTTTAATTCTCATTTACTTTCACTTTCGTTTTATAACTTACCATTCTTGCAGACAATGGCTTACAACAGCTTCGCATTTAGTTTTAAGCACCCCAGTAGAATTTGTTGTTTGTTTTTGCTCACAAATTATATTTATTACACTTATCTATCATGTATACTATAGGAAAATTCAAAGGGTCTGTAAGTCTCGTTGACTTTCACTTTCGTTTTATAACTCCCGGGTACCTGAGCGTTCTTGGAGACAATGGATTACTTAAGTTGTAAGCATCGCAGTGGAATTATTAAACTTGTAGTTTGTTTTGATCCCCGATTGTTGCAAAGAAGAGGAGAAAGTGGATTGATAGATGCAGGTAAATAGCGTTTAATTGCTTTATTTTTTCATTACATAACGTAAACACAAGCTATTCCGAGGGGGCCAAGATTAGCCAACATACTTAAGCAAAAAGGGAAAATTAAATCGTTTTTATGCTAAAATCGTCTGTATTCAAAAGGTACGCTTATCTACAGATTGGTTTCATAAATTTAAAGCATTGACTTAGCTTACAGTGGTATAATTTGGAGTATTGGACAGGTATACATGAGTTTGGGATATTGAATGCGATGTCATTGAAAGCAAATAAAAAAAATAGATGTACCCAAATGCATCGACCATGGGAATACAAAGTTGAATACCACGTCTATAACATATGATCTTTGTAGAAAACACATTCTTTTTTTTTTTTAATTACAACAATAAATAAAAATGGTCAGCTCATTCTGTAGGCTATAAGCTACCCTGTCTATTCGGAAATAAAAATGGTCACAAACACTCAAAAAATAATCATTTTTTATTCTACAAAGAAGAAGGCATTTTTCATTTACACATACAAACTGGATTAACCGCCAAGTTTCATGACCCCCCCCCCCACCCCCCCTTGCCAATACTCCTACAATTATGAGACAGACTTTTTTTCTTGAAATAGGCAATTTTCTCCATTTGTCATTATATATTACAGGGCTGCACAAGGTACTGAAAAAGGGACAGTGCTTTGAGTGAATGTGTTATCCATGTATCTGCAAATGAAGCAGATCCCCCAGTTATTATACTCATGATGAGTGTGACAACTTCCAACTTCCAAGTTGTTAATGACGGAACTCCATTTAAATCAGGTACAAGTTAAAGTTTAGGCTGCACAATTCTTTTTTACAATATCAAAACTTAATAATTCAGGATCAAGTTCACACAAGCTCACATTCCATGGTTACTTACAGCACCATTATGCTAGATAAATTTGTTATGATACACTTTCATGTTAAATAGTCAAATTTGATTGGTTTAAAAAACATTTGTTAACAAGTACTATTACCATACTGTATGCCAAACATTACATCCCAATGGTTGAAAATGCATGACTACGGGTAACAGTATATACAGTAATAAAAAATGTTAACTGTGCAGAATGTTTGCACATTCGTTTCACCTTGATGTTTTCTTTAAAATGCATTTTATGACAAGAAAAATATTACCTGTTTATTTTGGGTGATGTAAAATTCTTACCCCTTAAAAACCATTGCTGACCGAGGCGAGATCAGCGATGGTTTTTGTGGTATAACAATTTCACGTTATCCTACTAAACATGTAATATTTTTATGTTATGTGTACTTCTATTTGTAAATGTTAATGACTGTGAAAAACATAAATATTTATAAATTAGTAAAATCAATTTAATACACTATAAATACAGAAAAGGACAAATTTGTACATAATTCTCTATGATTAGGTTAATTAGTTTATATAAAGGATGTAAATGGGCATGATATATCATTGTTAATATTCAAGAAAGTGTTAACTGTTTTTCTTGTAGATGCTCCTTTCCATCTGATGTTTTCCAGGTTTTTGTGAAAAGTTTTCTTAAAAATGGCACCATTCAACCACAAATACTATGCCAGTGGAACTGTGATATCAATCAACTGCTTATGACACTGTTAACTGGCAGAGAAACAAAACCATCCAGTGATGTCCTAAGATTGCCAGATGCGCAGACATATACCTGTATATAAGAAAGATTCTGTAACATGACATAGAATTTTTGCACAGCTTGACACACAACTGATGGTAACTTAGGTGCCTGCAAAATAATAAATCTGGCACATATTTATTTATTTGATACAAATCAGAACAAAATTTGTCCTTTTACAGAACAAATTATTTTCATTATAAAGAAAAGAGAAATGCATATGTACTGTGTTAATATATATAACCTGTATTATTGGATATTTTTACCCCATTCTAATTTTTAAAATATTCACTCTTTCACCCTTGAAAACAATTTTGCCCTTTTCAAATTTGATCAGACACATTTGTGTTTAAAAGATATATGCTGCCTTCTTCGAATTTGTCCCATTTTAAATTCACCTACTTGTAAGGAGGGCAGAATGAGAAAAATAAAACTGGGGCGAAAAATTTCCAGAACAAAGTACCATTACTCGCCTGCCTGTTGTACTGTAACTCCTCCAGCCTTACAATATTCTATAATCATTGCTTTCATGCGATACCCCCCAGTGGATTGATGGTCTCTTTTCCAAATTATATGCACTTTCTAAAAAGAATGAATTTGTCAATTTATGAAATTTAGTATTACAAGTTAATAAAGACAGTAAAACAATGTTATCAACATTTATATGCAAATGAACCTCTGTATAAATCACTAATAAATGATTGACAACTTGTATGGAATATATCGAATACCCTTAATTTTGCATTTGGAAACTCAGCATTAAGGCCAAACAAAAAAATGTGTGGTTCCGGTTACACCTCCAAAAAAAATAGGGTAGGTAGGGATTTTTTATTATTTTTTTTTTTTAGTACAAAATGATTTTCTAAATTTTTCTAAATAATACCTATTTCTTTTCGTTAGCATAAGTGAACTATTTTATGTGTAGAGTGTTAGATATGTTTTCTCTTAAGCATATGGATTAGATATGTGCTTTAATGTGTGAATAAAATGTCTTGGGTATTTAAACAGTTGTTTGCTGATTCTATTCATTCGAGTTCATACTCATCTAGAAAATACAGTGTTTGAAGAAAATCAGCATGAGCAAATTGAATTATTTAACTGTTATTTGGATATTATATTTTCTTTTTTAAGAATGTTAAGTGTTTATGAAGATGATATGTGCTATCCTTGTTTTTAAAGGATGATATTAATTTCAGAATTGTATATTATAAGTAAAATTAATGGATATCTTAAGCATTATACATTAAATCTTAAATATAGATCATGATTTCTCTATCGGAATCTGCTGCAGAAGTCTTTATACAGGTATATAAAATCTAAAATTGTACATTATAGAATGCGAAAAAACAAATATTTTGTGAAGAGCTGAGTATACAACTCATAACTAATAAATGTTTTGTTTATTTTGAATTCAGTCTTTTCCAACTATGGTTCAGAAAAGAAATGTTTTATATGTGGATGAACAGAGTGAAGGAGAAAATAAGTGGCATTTCGATGTGGCGTTAAATATACTAGTCAACATTGGCAGGGGGCACCCTAGTTATGAATATGAAACAAATATTTTTAAATCAAAAATAATGAAAACACAATCTTTTCTTTTTGTAAAAAATAAAGTCCAAGGTGAACATCCTTTTTTTAAAATCAGTGTTTATAAATGAAATTAATTAATTACTTTTATCCAGAACAGTTCTTATTTTACTTAATAATAAATTCTGAACTATAAACTAGAAAACGGACATGAGAGTTCTGCTAAGAGCTGTCAGAGGAAAAGAACGTGACACCTACACTTTGTACAGTAATGTTTAAAACAAAATAAATCACCTAAGCAAGATGACATAGAATCATTCAAATTTGTCAGAATTACAAATATTTAATATTATTAAAATTTTAAATCCTTTCATGAAACCTTTTTGCCTCATTGAAGACTTCATACTTCCAAGCTCATTTCTCATATATATTGGTGTTTTGCAAGTTGACTTTATTCATGTAAAATCAGCAGTCTTCTTTTTCACTTTTCCTCATGAACTGTTTTTTTTCTACTTTCGGTTTAAAAGAAATGATCCTGATATAAATTATTTAATAGTTTACAAGTTAATCTATCTTACACATTGGGCTAATTCTTGCGTAATCAATGCAATCAAATAAATGTTTTCTCATGTTATCTTCCCCCTAACTCCAAAAAACGTTACCTGGCCAGCTGTCTGTGTGCTTTCAAGCGAGAAGTGATTTCCTATCCTGACTTCACACCTTTGCGTGCATTAAATAATAAAGGGGCTAATCAGCATGCACTTGTTATAAACCAGCTGTAAACAGAGCAACTAACTGAATCTCGCCACTCTTGGGCATATTTATTTAATTTTGGCAACCAAAAAACAAACAAACAAAAAAACATGGTGCTGGAAAAAGGTATACTGCCACGCCATGCTAGCTTGCTTTAGATTTAACACCATCAAACACTTGCACTACGTGTTGAAACGATTTTTGCATGGAGGCCGCCATTGCTGGAACTAAAACTAATACCGAAGTGGATGACGGAAATCACGGAAAATTCCGGAAAATAAATATGAATATTGCCGAAAAAAAGTTTAGGGTCGGGGATCTAAAATAGGGACGGTCAGGTAATGGGAACCACACATATTTTTTTATTTGGCCTAATAATATTCCATACATGATTGAGCTGTCACCTGATGAACCTTTAATTCTTTTCTATTTTTATTTTTTATATGCTTTATATGTATATGAATTATAAGAGTAAATGTAAGTCCAAAAACTTATTTTGTGACATCAATTTCATACCTGTATTTAAGTTGCCTTTTTGAGGATATACCGGGTAAATTATTCAAAGTCGATGTACATGTAGTCTTAGATGCTGCAGTTCTCTTGTATTTTAGCTATAAAATAAATCTTAATGTATACAATTGTGTAAGATGAAAGAATATTTCAAACACTGCATGAAACAGACCAAAACTTTAACCAAAATATCCTCTATAACATGCTCTCTAAACTGAAGAATATGGTCATATAATTGCAGTCATATGAATTTGTTCAATGATAAATGCAGAGAGAATTTGCAGAATATATAAAGAAAGTTTTATCGTTGGGATTGGGAAATAAGCAGGTCTAGTACAATCTCTTAATTTAGCTATATAGCTTGAAATAGCTATTTAGCTTTATTAAGCTATTCAAAATAGCTTGATTTAGCTATTTATATGCAGTTTTTTCACAAAAATTATTTTGGTAAGAAATAGACAAAAAGTTGCATGTATTTGACTATTCATATATGTGCTATGGGCTATCGAAACAACAAGCAAAATCAAAGATAGCTCCAACTTTGCAACTTTGATTACTTTTAAGCAAAAGATTAATTCTATTATTTGAGTAACTGTCCACTACCTTGTGTGCATTGAGGCATGGATAAGTATGATTGCTTCTCATTGAATGTACTGAATTAATCAATTATCTTGTTGACCACAATTGGCCTCCTTTATAAATTCATTGAAGAAGTAACTGTATCAATTGCATATGTAGCCCAAAAACTTTTAGAACTTTGAGTACAAAGTCTCTTTTGTTTCTATTTCCCTAATTATCTCCCCTTGTTTAAGGGTCACAACCCTAGTTTTAGTATAAACAGAAGCCCTTGGCCCAAGGATTATAACCCTGTGACAAATTTGACAATAATGGCCAAAGGGTTCTTGAGTTATGGCCCATATTCTAAAAAGTTTACGTACACCGCACAAATGGCCACAGCATTAGCTCTTTGGGCCTTTGGCTCAGAAGAGCTTAAAAAATGAACCTCTTACATTGATTTTTGGTCAATATTTTTTACAGTTTTTTGTATAGTTTTTTGATGAACAATGTACAGTATTTTCACTCAAATTCCTGTATTTTGAGGACTGCTGTACAGTATTTGGACCTAAAAATTATCACATGTATGCAAGGAGATTTTAATGAGTGAGTTTTAAATGCATCAATTTCAGATGAGTTCAAGGTTGAGTATCATCACTGCACCAAGGTGCGACTTTTTGTGCATGCTGAGAAAAGTATACATTTAAGAAAAAGTGTGATAAAATAGCTAAATTAAGCTATTCTGAACACCTTAATAAAGCTATATATATAGCTAAATCAAAAGATTGTACTGGACCTGATAAGTGCTTTCAAACATTGAATACTTAAAAAACTAGACCTACTGACATGCAACAGCTAAATTTTTGTTGATAAATGAAGCGTATTCTGAACAAATTATTTACCCAAACAAAGGTGATGCTGTCACAAGATGACGTTCGTACCCATCTGACACTTACACTACTCCTCCTTAATCAGCTGGTAATAACATCATTATCCTCGAATTCAAGAAAAATCTGTTAATAAATTAGTTGGAATGATGATAACAAAACTATTCTAATCAGATACAAATGTATAATATAAGACTTCTATTTCACCCAAGAATACCCAAGAAGCATGCAGGTGACATTCTCTGACTTGTTTACCTGTACTTCGATCGAAATTCTCCTCCTACTTGCTCGCACCCAAGCTTTTACGACCCTCAATTTATCCATCGTAAGTCGGAGAACCCTTCGGCTTTGTACAACTGCTTAAACTTTCCTTATACGCTTTGTGTAAACCATAAACATGCATAACCCAATACACATCTCCATGTGTGAGGTACCTGGAAGTTAATATTATCGAAAAATCTCGCGAGTCACGTGACGAGACTTACAGACCCTAACGCAGCCCGAATTTGCTTGGTTCCAATGAAAATCTAGATAATCTTGAGGAAGGGAGCATTCATTATTTGTTGTCGTAAGAAATGCGAATAGGTGATATCACCTATTCGAATAGGTGATATCACTCATTCAAATTGAATAGGTGATATCACTTATTCGAATAGGTGATATCACTTATTCGAATAGGTGATATCACCTATTCAGCACGAATAGGTGATATCACCTATTCGAATAGGTGATATCACCTATTCATTTCGAATAGGTGATATCACCTATTCGAATAAGTGATATCACCTATTCGAATAAGTGATATCACCTATTTGAATAGGTGATATCACCTATTCGAATAGGTGATATCACCTATTCAATTTGAATGAGTGATATCACCTATTCGAATAGGTGATATCACCTATTCGAATAGGTGATATCACTTATTCGAATAGGTGATATCACTTTTTGGCAGTAAATACCAAAACGGCGCCTCATAGAAATCCCAGATATATTTCCGATCAAAACTTAAAATAAGAGGTGCACAATGACATGTTGTAATAAAGATACCGTGAAAGTCTTGATTCAGTGGTTTAGTAGAAGTTGCGGATAAGACATGAGTACCCCAAATGTTAAATAAAGAATAACTGTGTCCATGTTTTGGAATGGGAAACCCCAAAATATGTGTCCGATCGAAACGTAAAAAATAGATGCACAATGCCTTTATGTAACAAAGATTTCCTGAAAATTTCATTAAATTGCATTCAGTGGTGTAAGAGGGGTTGGAAATAAGGGATAGCTACCCCCAACTGTAACGGACGGAGATGGACGGACTGACAGACACCCTCATCACTACATGTATATACACCCCCCCTTTTCAAGCAGGAGGTATAAAAATACATTGTTTTTATGTCGTTTCAAATACTGAATATCGGGTATGTATACATGAGATTTATGATGGGACAACTAGTCACTTATAAGTTGTTAAAAGATGTCAAGGTAATAAAGATATTTCATAAACAAACCTTCAGTAAAATAGATTTAGAGGTTGACAGAAGCTCTGCAGCTGTTAAAAGTTTCTCAAAGATTTGATTGAATTCTTCATCTAGACCGTTCCTCGTTGCCCATTCTTCTAACTCTCCTATGTTGGCACGGATCCGGACACCTGCTGTCCAGTTGTAGTAAGTGGATCCAGCATCTGAAAAAGAAATGAACTGCAAGTTCCACTGAAACCAGTAGCAGATTTTTTTTAAAGGCATAGATAATCATTTAATATACTAATATCAAATGCATCGCTAAATGTTTTCAATTCGAATTTCTATTGAGAGACCAAGTTTCACTTCAAGAAAATTCGTTACATAAAAGGTATAACAAGAAATCTGTAATAAGCCTACTACTTTGTACTTTTTGTATTGTAAGAGAAAGTTGCATTTGTAAATTGTTTGTTTTCCTGGATTTTTACATTTACAGAATTATATATCTTCATGTTTTCTACTCTTTTTAGCAGTTTAATTAATAGAAATCAAACTGAATCTAATGGAGAAACGGCAATTTACAAGAATTAATTACACGAATTATTCTATTTTTAGCAACCAATCCAAAACCTAAAAAGCAATATCTGTCTTCTACGAAAGCCGGATAGGCTCATTTTTGACAAGATAAAAAAATAATTAACTCGTTATAACGAGATAGTTATCTTGTTATAACGAGTTAGTATCTCGTTATAACGAGTTAGTTATCTCGTTATAACGAGTTAGTTATCTCGTTATAACGAGTTAGTTATCTCGTTATAACGAGTTAGTATCTCGTTATAACGAGATAATTATCGCGTTATAACGAGTTAGTATCTCGTTATAACGAGTTAGTTATCTCGTTATAACGAGATAATTATCTCGTTATAACGAGATACTAACTCGTTATAACGAGATAATTATCTCGTTTTAACAAGTTATTTATGTCGTTATAACGAGACAGTTTTCTTGTTATTTCGAGACTTAATAGCAATATAGGAATAAAAATGGCTGCAGTTTTAAATGCCGTTGAATTTTTAGCAAGTAATTATCAGTCAAATTTAACTTGAACAATTGATAAATGGTTGAAATTTTAATTTGCTCTGGGGTTTACTTATGATTAAATCTTGAACTATCTCGCTGTCAATAATCATAGCAACTCTAAGGCGAACACATTTACACATTTTCGTGAACTCTTCCTCAAATTGTTGCATTAGGACGCGATTTTTTTCTTAAAATAATTTTGCCAAACATACTTGCTTCAAACTTTGGCAATTTATTTATGACAACTATTTCTGATGAATGACACTATTTCGATATGTTTTGGACGACTTACTGGTATACACTTTCATATATCAATTTCTATACCGCTAAAATTAAATATCAGAGACAATATAAGTGCAACATATCGTTTATGCAACATATAATATATAGATTACAGTGTTATACATATGTTACTTCTGAGATTCAGAAATGTTTTGAAGACGGGGGATGGTGAGACATCAGCAGTTAGATCATAGGCGTAGTAATAGAGAGGCTAATGTCCACACCACCACTTTTGAAAAGGGGGCGGTCAAGAGTATCTTCGTGCCCCTTCCTCCATATTTTTTTACCTGAGTAAATATCTCCCGAAAATAATGGCGAATACTCGTAGTTGGAATATCAAATCTATTTTTTTTCTTTTTACTTGTCAAATATTTTACTTGGTTTAACCCCCCCCCCCCTTTGAACTTCGTGACTTATGCATATTGTCCGCCAAAATGAGGAATGGTGAAGCAAAAATGATATTACATCCTTTTAAGTAATAAGACGTTAAATCTGATCTGCTGATATTGGCATTTTATCTAATATTCTGTCATGATTCACTGTTTATATTTTTTGCGGGGGGGGGGGGGGTCCAAGTTGTGGAGATTCACGGAGACCTATTTGAGATTCACGTCTATTTGGCGGATCCTATATGTTTACCACATAGTGTCAGAACGTCAAACCAGAGTTTACAAAACAAAAAAAGTTTACAGAGTTTACAAAGCCAGTTCACTTTTATAATCTTTTTACTTAGGATTGATCAACGAATAGGCCTAATGCTACATATGTACATTTATATTATTAATACAACATTGAAGCAATGTCGTTAATTATTTTCCTCATCACAATATTTATTATGTATACTTTACAAGCATATAATTTTTATTTCAAAAAGAGATTGATGATTTTTTTTTTCGGAGGGGGGGGGGGGGGGGTAATAAATAGAGGATATTCAATGTTTTGTAGTTGATATGGAATTTATTTCACGAGTGGGACAGGGATTTTTTTTTTAATTTTCATGAGTGCGAAGCACGAGTGAAAATATCAAAAATCACATTTCTTGGCAAAATTTATGCTTGAAATACACCTTAAGTAATGCTTATCATATTGTAAACTTTAGATATTAAACTTTCATTCTATACCCAAAAAGGATCACATGTCAACTGTTTTTACTAATGCTGACTTTCACCTTTTATTGTGGCTTCCGTAGAATAAAGAGCTCCAAAAGTTTTTTTTAATTCTACCACATTGATAATAACGCAAAAATTACATATTGTAATTTAAAATTCCATGCCAAATTGGTAAATTAAAATGTTTCTTTCTTTTAATAAACAGAAGAAATATATAAATTATTAAGTGATAAGTACAGTATTAGTTCTTGATATTCATCATATTTATTATTGAGGGGAAGGAGGGATTGATGATAAAAACAACGTGAATTTATTTTTTTGTCAGACATTGAATTTTGATCTTGCCCCTTTAAGACGATAAAATTGAACTGGTATTCCTTGTTAACAGGCAAGGAATTATCAAAATATGATCGTTAAAGCCTAACAAATGGTTTCATATCCACATGATTTATTCGGAATATTCAAAATAATGGGATTATTTCTATGCATTTTTTATTGCGACAAATATTACGCAAACATTATTATAATTTTAACAAATTCAAGAAAGCTTGAACAGGGCAGTTAAATCAGCCAGAGTATATCATTTTTTTCTGATCTCCTTGTACAAGTTGACAAAATTTTGATCTTATATACATTCCATTTGAAGATGACACTAATTTTATTTTGCAATTTTAAGGTATAACACAACAACATGAGGCGGTCACAAGTTTCCGTATATTTGTCTTCGGTCTCTCCAATAAACAATACTAATCAAAGGTATAACACAAAAAAACTAGTATGCTGTTCCATAGAATCTTTATCACGCACACTTCAACAAATTTGATCGACTTGCTTCTGTATATTTCCTATAAATAATGGTCTATTCTTTACTTAAATATATCAATTCTAGATCAATTTTTATCTCGTTATAACGAGATAATTATCTCGTTATAACGAGATAACTAATTCGTTATAACGAGATAATTATCTCGTTATAACGAGATAACTAACTCGTTATAACGAGATACTAACTCGTTATAACGAGATAACTAACTCGTTATAACGAGATAATTATCTCGTTATAACGAGATAACTAACTCGTTATAACGAGATACTAACTCGTTATAACGAAATACTAACTCATTATAACGAGATAACTAACTCGTTATAACGAGATACTAACTCGTTATAACGAAATACTAACTCGTTATAACGAGATACTAACTCGTTATAACGAGATACTAACTCGTTATAACGAGATAATTTTCTCGTTATAACGAGTTAAATATTTTTTTTCTCTTGTCAAAAATGAGCCTATCCGGCTTTCGTAGTCTTCATATAATCTACTTTTTACTAACTTTTAATTAAAATCAGTAACATGCATTTCGAAAAACTTCCCAAAATCTTTCTGTTTTAGGTAAAAGTATAACCACTGGAAAACAGTGCATTGAAATTATGGATCTCTATTTAGCAAACCAGTGTACCTAGTTTCACTAAAATCGGATCAAAAAGAGTAAGAATAAGGTTACATTATGTTCTGTTCTAGTAACTATGGCCACACTGTTCACTGTCTTAATGCAGTCTCTCTGTGTATCTACCAGTAGTTTCATTGAAATGGAAACAATATGAAGAAGTACTGTAACATTTTAAAAGAATTTTTCTTCAAATAGATTATTTCTATTTTTTGTAACCAAGACTACTAGAGCTGGGACGAAAGAAGTTTTATATCTGTTGTAAATCAAAATAATTTTACACAAATGGTATTAATTATTATGTATTTCATATTAATATTTATATGTAGCATATTTATTTTATATATTTAACCAAAAATGTTAAGTAAACAAAGAAAAACACAAGTCTGTTTTTTTTTAACGATATTTCGATATTTCCTCATACGTATCGATATGCGTATCATCATCATCACCACATTGAATCGATATTATCGATATCTCGTCCCAGCCCTAAAGACTACACTGTACATCGCAATCAGGGTATATCACTTTGAGAGAGAGAGAGAGAGAGAGAGAGAGAGAGAAACTTAACAGATGTACAGGTTCACTATAGCAACTACGGATATTTAACAACCGCATTAACTCTTCGACAAGTAAATAAAAATGGGAGTTATTATATTAATGCGAGATATGAGTGGACCCTTCTTGAATATCGTGTTTTCGTTTATTCTTTTTAGAAATTAACAGGTGATACTTGAACAAGACATCCTTTGGTTTATACTTAACACGAGTTATTGTGAGGGGGGGGGGGGGGTAAAAAGATCAGAAAACGTACCCCGGAGAAAGAGTCGGTTGAAAACAGATGTACTGCAGAAAAAGAAGATGTACATGAAGAGCTGTTTAGCGACTTCTGTATGCAGCTGCTGTCCACTGGTCATTTGTATAATGACGTCAAGGACCATTGTGATTTTCCACACTCCCCCTCGCTTCTCTGGACCATGATTTTCTGAAAATGGGTTACTATCGAGCACGGCCGGCATCAACATATAGAGAGCCTGAAATTGAGGAGAATACAATCCAAAAAAATGCATTGCTAATCTCTTTTTTTTAAACAAAAGAACCCTTCAGCCATTCTCTGAGAAGACTTTAATACGATAAACATGGTTTGAATTAAAAGGGAGGATTCGAAAAGCTAAGGAAGAAAGGTATTGAGGGGTTCTAGATACCTTGGTGATAGTGTACACAGTTTGCTGGAAGCAGAAAACCACAATCTCCTCTAGGCCAGAGGCTAGCTCGTGAAATGCTCCCTGTGTATCGTCGTCCAGTCCGCCCCTCCCTCCAGCCCTGTACTTAGAGGACTGTCCCCTGAGGTACAGTATCAGCTGTACACAGTTGGACATCCATCTTAACAAGGACTTCAGGTAATCCTCTCCAATGGTGATGTGTTTCTTACTTTTAATTAAACCACTGGAGTAAAAGGTATAAAGCACTATTTGAATTATGTGTAACTTTTAGTTGATATATACTCTGTGATAATTACTAAACTTTCAGAGAACTGAAGAAATACATCATTAACATAAAAAAGTTGATGTTTTGAAAATTCATGCAGGAGTCCAAAGTTGGATGGGGCTTTTTATAGAAGTATATTGAAGTTTCATAGATTTTTTTTCGAAGACAGCGTTTGATTATTTTTTGTCACCGAAATGGAATCTTTTCAGAGACGCAAACTAGAAGTTGATGCAAGAACTATGAAAAATTAACAAATGCAATTTCATAAAATGATAACTCGAAAGTGAAAATACTACTCATCTCAAGTATTTTTGAAAGTGTTTTCCTTTTAAAAAAAAAGCAATTGGACGTTTTATTTTTATTCATTTATTTTTAAAAAAAAAGATGGAGAGTTAGTTGTCGTGAGAAAAATGCAACCTTTCACACGATATACCAAGATCGATATTAAACCAAAAAGTATGAGGTTTCAATAACTTGAAAAGGGTCGTTTGTGATTGCAAACGTCGGTTTACTCAATTGCCGTTTAATGAGAACTTGACTGACAATAGATTTAACTTATTAATCTGACTTACCAGTTAAATTTGTTGTTTTGTAATGCTTTAGACAGCTCCTGTGAAAGGAACAAAGGCTTCAATCTCAAACAGAATACATTATATGCATATATTATTGTCTTGCATACATAGGGGAATAAGTATACATTTGATTGTTCAAAATCTCGCTTAACAATTTATGTGCCACTCTCTTAAACCGGTAAATATACCACAATTTACCCTCTGGCTGATACAATTAAGTGTTCTTTTCAATAGAAAATTATAGACTATCTTATTCAATGTCTCATTGTGGCATTTTAAACTACGGCTAAATTATAGTGCAGTACTAAAAAGTCGTTCTCCTAATTGCACTGACTAAATGCAAAAGGGTTCGGGCATTGAAACATGCTTTTGAATTTCTTTGTTGTGTATTGTATCTTAAGTCTTTTTAAAAGTAAGACTTTTATATCCAATGCACGTTTCTTATATTTTAAGAAAAAAAACTTTCTAAATGTAAAAGTCATTAAAATGACAACAAGTTCGGGGGTTTATGAGGCTATACATACATTGGAGTAATTGGTAAATCCCCCCCCCCCCAAAAAAAATAGGGAAGTCGTTTAGAAATGCGTGAATTACCATATATAAGCCCATAAACCCCAATATGTCTTATGTTTACATTTTAAACTACTAGAAATATTTCTTGTGAAACTGGTGTTCAAAAATCGGTTTCATGATTTGCACCAACTATATATACAAGTAATGCAAAATATACATGTACATGTATAATATAAATGGTAATCGTTTGAAAGATCGTCTTTTTAAGTAGCTTCTACAAGACATCCTCTACTCTGACGTATATTTTCTATTTATCAATAAAAATCTGCCATAACTGATTTTTAATTTTTTATTGATAAATAGAAAATATGTTAGAAAACAGTACCGTACCGCAACGTTCTCCCTAGTAACTACGAGGATTCGTAGCAGCAAGTTTCTAATGTGATGGCGGTCTTTCTGGTGGCAGGCGTACTCGATGCACATACTGTACAAAAAAGCAGGAGCCAAGGAAAAATCTACAGAGTTTTGACGTATAATGGCGGCAATCGCCTTGACAACCTCTTCCTCTTTGTCACGCGCATAAGCGAACCGGAAGCGTTCACCAACAGATTCTCCAGTGGATTCCACCGTGGACACAGAAATTGAGTCATCCACTGCTTGGCTAAGCATCAGGGGAGGAACGTGAACAATGTTTTGTTTGAGAGGAAACTTTGAAAGATACTGGATAGTGTCTGTAACGTTACAATTTGAGTCGACTGACCCTAACCATAGAAGGTCTGCAGGAATATCCATTCCAGCGGTGAGATCCTTGAAGAGAAACACGTAATAATTCCCCAACGAAAGAATGTCCCCACATTGCACAGTGGTTCTGGAACTGACGGGGTATCCATTTACTCTAATATTGGAAGGAACGACACATTCCAGCTCCAAACAGTAGTTGTAGCCAGGAGAGTGATTGTCAGACGACGTCAGACGTCGAAGATGAAGATGACAATGTTTAATATGAATATCAGGAGCAAAGAGCCTTATACAATTTGAACTCTTCTCTTTACTATTGCACACAAGAGTTGTTCTAGACTGTAACACATGAAACAAAGGATCTCTATTGGGGTCACAACCCCTTAGTGTTAATAAAAATGGACGATTTGTTGGCGCAAAAAATGATTCTGTATTTTGTTTCTTGTTTTGAAGGAATGAGTCAGGAAGAAAATTACTGGGATGTTCAACATTAAGTCCATTCAAAACTTTATTGCACTCGGTTTTCCTCACCATCCAAGGTGACTTGATTCGAGACAAAGTTCCGTCCAGATTAAGCTGGTCCGCGAATTTTTCAATTTTTCGTTCTTGCCATGTAATGGTGGAAGGAATGGCACCGCGCCGGAGTTTGGACATAGATATCCGGCGAGCATTCTCGTTCAATCCGTAAGTATCGTCCTCTGAGGGAATTGCAGAGAACTCCGACTTCATACGAAGTTCGTAACGTCGGCTGTGACCATCTCCTGGCTTCCAGTAATTCTGCAGCAGGAGAGGACGGTCGTATTCTGATATCACCCGAGAACACACTCTCCTCCATTTGGAACTACTTCTTCTGACCAACTCTGTACCGGCACTCTCGGATGTAGACTCGCTAGGTAGACATGTTCCAACAACATCACAAAGAACATACTGTGAGTGCGATGACGGGGGTAATCCATAACGTTCCAAAGCCTGCTTTACAAGTTCAACAGCAGTAGATCTCTTGGAGGCTAAAACACTTTTATATTCAACTCCATGAACAATTTTGTCCCCAAATATTTTTAAAACTCCTGGAGTGTATTCATCAGTACTTAGTTCCTGAACTGCACTGATTTCGTCAGAGGTCGATTTGTTTTTCCTCCCTGTATATATTACTCTCCTCCGAATCTGTTGTTCCTCAAGATACAGGGGGAGCGAGCTCTCCAGATCAATATCACTGTCGTGAAGAAAGTCCAATCCCCGGGGCACAGAATGATCCCCCCAAGGAACATCCATCATTCGTAAATTACCACCCTACTGTCATCAAGTATCAGCTGTGAGAATCCATACAAGTTATAGAACATTGGCTTCTACTTTGCCTGTGAAAAAAAGAAAACAGATCTTTCAAAGTATAGTCGGTAATTTCATCAAGGTGTAAATTGTACATAAGAAATGTAGTGTTCCGAGTAAAACAGCGGGTTAATTTAAGGAAATTACTGGCTACACGGGGCGTTTTCGGTCTATTGAGTTTTTATATTATGTACATAGAACCACTGTGGACCATAATTGAATTACATTGGAGGAACCAGGATTAAAACTGATATAGAAATGAAATGTAAATTCTTTACTCTGATAAACAGACTTTGTCGGGGGATCCATTGTGTCCCCACCAAACAAATCAATAATTTAAAAGACTACAAACTTACCCTACAACACGATGATATCAACCAACTTTCAGTCCGCGGAAAGATGTTCTTTTTCCCTGTATATTTAACCTGTTTATCCTTTCAAAACATAATTTTACAAAATAATTCAAATACTTGCGATAAGTATTTCCTAATCCCCATAATACGACTATTCTTATAGGTAAGAAGTACCATGTTTGGACAAGTGAAAAGCGATCAAGAAAAGTAGTCGGGATTAGTGAACAATTCACTCTCACTATTCATTATACAATGACGATTACTTTCGCTCCAACATATCCAGTTGACTTTGCCGTTCCTATGAAATTGCATGAAGACCACATACCAAGAGTTACGTTAGAATATAGTCTTTAAGTATACTCCAAATTAGTGGTGGAATTTTGTACGAAGTCGCGTGGTCTTGTAATTGATATACTTTTCAATTGTCTGCTTCAATGAACATTTTTTCTCCCTACAGGGAATTGTCTGTTGAATTTTTTTTTATTTGTCCTCGTAGTCTGAGTTTTAAAAACAATGAAAAAGAGGGAAAGTTTGTTAGATCAGTCCGATAAATTCCCGAAGGAAATGCACTAGTTTACAAATATCCTCGCTTGAAAGAAATTCAATAAAAAGAGTTTTAAAAAAGATAATTGTTTGACTTGCAAACACAATTCATAAAAAAAATATTTTAAGAAAACGGGAAAGTTGGAGGCCTGCGGCTTTGATGTATTCACCCTACCTCCCAGTGTACTGAGTTTTGTTTTGTTTTTTTTTTAATTAATTAATTTATTTATTTATTTATTTTTTTGCGTTCAGTATAGTTTGACAATCTTTTTATGCAAAAATATATTAATAAGGGTATATTGATGTTGTTGGGATGTCATCTTCTACACTTTTTTTTAATATATTATGATATTAATATTACTTTATGTTTAATCGAGGAACTTTATTTGACTGATTTTCCTTTAATGTGGAACTTATTTTATGTGCACTGCGAACTTCAACTACAAACATTTTGACCATAGGTATTTTCAGGCCATAATTTAAAATTGGAATCTCTCTCTCTCTCTCTCTCTCTCTCTCTCTCTCTCTCTCTGTGTGTGAGAGTATGTGTGTGAGGTGGTTGGGGAAGTATTCTCACAATATTTTACGCATATATAGGACTGTTTTATAGGACTTTAATTCGCACTTGTGCAATTTTCTTCGAAGTTAATAAATGGAAAATAGACGCAAAGTAGTGGGGAGAAGTTCTTCAATATTGCCATTTGCTGCCCTATTATATAAGCTAGGTTTTCACCCTTTTCTACAGTTTATTTGTATTTGGATTGGGCTGACCTCGTTTCGATAATTTCCTGTTAAATATTCATTGAGGGACTTTGGTTCTTATTTCAAAGTATAATCCACTCTTTTGATACCTGTGGTTAATTCCACATTCCTGGGGCTATCAATGTAAGACTACATGAATGATTTGTCATTCTGACCGAAGTATTTTTACCCCGTATTTTTAGTATACCTATATATACTATATATCTTATCCATTTTATTCAATGACAAGGAAACCTCTGTGAAAGTTGCGACGTTTCGAGGCATGTATCAAATAGTTGAAGATGCTTCAGGGGTGAAATGGAACAATATAACATTTGTTTGTTGTTTTTTTTTTTTGTTATAGCACTGGTTAACAAACTAAAAATGGTCAATCTTGTACAGGTATACCAATCCCCCTTCCCCATGATTAAGATATCAGTATTGCACTATGTTCTATTCCCCTCTCCTCCTTTCCCTCCATTCCATTTATTTATGAATTTCATGAATAAGTGTCCAAGGGAAGATGTTTAATGAATGAGCTTTCAAATCACTTTAATTGCTGTTTAGGAGGGTACTCTACTTAATCTTAACTTCGTATGGGGGATACATTAAGCATAGAACTTTTACAATTATATATTTGACATTATTGGAATTTGATCCCTGATTGCATATGTACAATAAGGCTTGGATGCTTCAAGTGACCTAGATTTTCTGGCTGATTATAGGTTAAAATCTTTAAGAGGGGGTGGGGGAGGATATACAGCGTAAAGTGAAAAGGCGTAATAACGCGAAAAAGGCATAGTAACGTGAAAAAGGGTAATCATAGCCTTTCAAAATGGCGTAATAATCGGAGTAAAAGGGGTATTATACGGAAACGTATGATAACTCAAACAAACCGAAAGAAAAAGCGAAGTGAAAAGACGTTTTACACATTTTTTGCGCTATAATCTTTTGATTCGCATTATTGTTGTTACGCCTTTATTACGCCTTTATCTGCATTAATTCGCCCTTTTACTTTAATTGCTTTATTACACCTTTCTGAAAGTCTTACATTTTTGCGTTGTTTCGTCTTTTCTTCTTTTTTTTTCTTAGTTGACTTTCCTAAACTGTAATTCCAATGTTGAAATGTTGATCAAAATTACATGGATGATGACAACATGTTGTACTCTAAGCGAAAAAAAAACTTGCCCAAGCCTGAAAAAACCTCCTTAAGGATGGGGGAGGAGAAACACTTTCCTAAGTCGACTTTCTGCTAATATACCTGACTCTCCTGACTAGGGGTCCGTGTTTTCTAGGGGCAAGAGGGTACCAAGTTTTTTTTCCGTTACTTTTACATAGAAATTTAATAACACTGAAAATTCAAGGGGGGGGGGGGGGGCTAGATATCCACCCCTGCATTTTTTCAAACATATACATTGAATGTGAATTTTGGACGTAAGCTACCTACTAGTATATAGTCTGAAAGAGTGATCAAAAAAAGATTTAATGCAGATCTGTTCCCAGGTAGCAAGTCCTCCTTGAACCAAAGTTGATGATATGATTATCTTGGGATGCATACGAACAGTCTTACTTTGGTTGCTGCATATGACCTTTATTTTCTGACTGAGTGTTTTTGTGCAGGTTTATTCAAGTCCTTTCTTGACCATTATTACATAGTCGTTGCAAATTTGGATGCAAACTAACGGTCATGTTTAGACGCTGCACGTGACCCACATTTTCTGAATGAATAGGTTAAAGTAATTAAAAAAGTTAAAATATTATTCAAAGATACATGTACATGGAAGGAAACATCATAAAAATCATTTGTATTGTATTTGAGAACGTACCTATAAGTAATCGTGCTTTCGATGCTGCATGTGACCTTCTAGTATTTTTCTTCATGCACATTCATGAAATTAAATTCCAATTGATTACAAGCCCAACATGCAATGACCAAACTTAGAGACATATAATAGTGAGCCAAAATCACATTTCTCTGTCTCTTTACAAGATGTTGCACTGGAGGTAACGTATAGATGCATATGGGTATTTAATCAAGAGTAATAGTAATGGAGATTCCTCAGAAATGCTGTTGGATCTAGATAAGGTGAAAACCTTGACAAACCTTAGAAAATTCAAGATGAACTAAATATATATCTACGGCTTTATATTTTACTTTTTGCAGATTACACTTTTCTGTTATCTTAATCCCATGAGAATCTTCAGTATATCAGCTTAATTATTTGAGATTTTCTCTGAACAGATGGCCGTAGGAACCGGGGGGGGGGGGGGGGGTCAAGGGGGTCGTGCGTATGTAAAATATGGCACCTTAATGTTAATAGTACATGTACTAAAACGAAAATTGTTATATTTGGCAAAGGTTAAACAAGTATTAATATTTCTTTTAATTCTTGAAGGTGTTCCATTGGAAATTGTTGAAAATTTTAAATATTTTAAAGTTACATTTTGTAAAAGTGGTCTTTCAATTTCCAATGGAGAGATGGGCAGTGGATATATTTATTCGGGTATTTTCACTTTGTCGTGACGTCACGACAATCGAGCCCGATGCCAATATAAGCCAGCGCAGATCGATCGACAAGTCAGTTTGTAAGTTGACTTTTACAGCTCACATCTCCAGAATATCTGGGAGTGAAAGTCAATGGATAACTCATATTGAAAAATAATTCATTTATGGGAGCTGATGAATTTTGAGATAATATTTTATTTTTTTACTTTTAATAATTATATTGAATTGTTCTATGGGAGAAAATTAGTGGGAGGTGAAATAACTCTCCCATAACTGATAACTATCAATTGTGTTGTAAAGAGACTCCCAGTATTTTGGGAAATACTTTTATACTTTTGTAAATTTATTTTATAATTCCCTAAAACTTAATTCTCCCATTTGAGAATATTTTATTCCCATTTCTAATTGGGAGAGAAATAATATTTCTACGGGAGCAAGAAATAGGGATAATCATTCAAAGAGATATTGCAAATTAAATACAACAAGAAATGATAAATTTTTATACATTTTAATCCTGACTTAGAGTTCTTTTGTCCAATAAACAGACTTGGGAGACCCACAAGTTGCATAAGGGAGAAAACCCCTGAACGGCAACAATAGTGAAACCAATTCTGTAATATGGTTGTGAAGTATGGGTTGAAATAATATTACTCTTGTTGTAAGACTTTATTATACCCGCACTTTCTAATGAAAGTTCGGGTATATTGTTGTTGTCCTCGTCCGTCTATCACACTTTCTTTTTCCTGTAATCAGTTTCTCTTACAATATAAGCAGTAACCAATTCATCTTTTGAAATATGATAGTTGGTGTCCTGTAGATGTGCAGTGAGATTTAAGAGTTTTCATTTTCACTCTGGGGGTTGAATGAGGGTA